CCAGGATCACACCACACTCAGGGGCAACCACACCCAGGAACATAACACACTTAGAGACATACCACACCCAGAGACACACCACACCCAGAGATACACCACATCCAGAGATACACAACAGCCAGAGGCATACCACACCCAGGAGCACACAATACCCAGAAGTAGACCATACCCAGACACACACCACACTCAGAAATAATATTTTCCAGCTACCTACTTCCTTAGTCCAGTTGCACTGGCATGTACAACTGGCCATCAGGGAGAAATAATCAATATATATATTTAAATGCTTGTAAAATAGATTTAGCACCATGTTGTCTAATCCTAGCTTCTCCTAAAACTTGAGGCAAAAGTTTCTTAAGTTCCAGGTTAACCTAGAGTAATTGTCCCTCAAAATAATTGTTTTAAAGACTACAAATGTAGCTTATTGGTAGAGTGTCTGCTTTGTGCAAAGCTGTGAGTTCCACCCCAAGTCAAACAAACAAGAAAAAAAAATTGCTTGTATATAGGAATGAAACCTAACACTCAATCGTACTTTTTGAATATTATCTCACTAAAATTTTATACTAAAACATAATTGCCATCTATATTGTGCTCAATAAAGAACCTTGCAGGGGTAAAATGTAATTATTTAACTATGGGTAAGCACACTAGGTTTTTCTGCCATCAACAAGTGAGGAACGAGCACAAATTTCAGCTTCATGGTACCTGTTTTTGGCATCCCAAACCCTATAATTCTGTGTCTGACATTTGAGGAACACTCTTGGTATTAGAAAGTCACATTTCATGGCCTACCCTATCCCCATAGGTGAAAAAAAATGATGCTCGATCTTCACAGAGCAGCAGCACATAGTATGTGCTTACAGTTTATCTACATGCAATAGTTTCAGTAAGTATGCATATACCTCTAAAAATTGGGAGTTTAATTCCAAATATTTCTAATGTGAGAAACACTAATCAAAATGCACCAAAGAAAATAACTCAGAGGTGAACTGAAATGCCAAAGGGTATATGAATAAAACATTGAAGATGTTCTTTAATGAACAATTGGGAAGAATCAAGTACATATAAGGAAAAGCTGACACTATGAAGAGGCAATCTGCTGAAGGACCCCCACAGTTAAACATAAAGCCAACTTCAAAGCATTGGCTATTGTATTTTGCAAAAGCTGTCAAGAATCTCAGGAGAAAATTATACAATATATGTTGTTAGTAGGGGAAAGTGCCATACAGTAACTTTTATCTTTTTATATTGCTCAAAGGATATATGATGTCCTCTACTGGCATCCACAGACACCTGCACACACAGACAGATGCACAGACATAAGGCACAAATTGACTAAAAATAACTATCTTAGAAATAGATTAGATCAGTCCCTCTGAAACTTTGGGTAGAAAAATTATGATTAAACTACTTACATGACATATCTCATACATAGTACCATGATGCCAGGTTTACTCATTATCCAAACCTATGAGTGGACACATGTCATGCTGGCTGCATTCAAGGTCAGATAGTAAAATATTTTCTTTGACAATATGGCAGAAAACTCTCTTTACCCTGGTTGGCAAAGTATGACTAGAAAGAAAAAGCATTTTATTTTGACTTCTGCCAGAATTCAATAACCTCAGTAGGTAAATTAAATTCATCCACTCACCCTTATACTATTGTGGGTTTCCAGTGGACTAGGAACAGAACAGTGTGGAGATGGCCTATCTCTAAGTAGACAAAGCTGGGAAACAGCCTAAAACAAGTCAGTAAGCTGGTGGAAGCTACTGCAATTCAAATTGCTTGATGTTATGTAGAAAATTACCTGATTTGTTTGTCAAAGAACATAACAATCAATAAGAGGAAAACCCTGAAGTCATTTGACTGCATCTGGCTATTATAGCAGAGTCCATAGTGTACTCTGCATCTGTGTCTGTAGTATGAAAAGAATTCAGACAAAGAATGAGAGATGAAGGAAAGATTAATATTATAAAATGAAGATGTAAGAGGTCCAAATAAAATTTACTCGCCTCTTCTACTCACTACAATTCCTATTATACCTAAAAATAGCATAAATTATTAGTGACAATGAAATAAATCATTGTCTGTTCTACATAGTGAGCAAAGCGAGCAATGTCTTGCCCATGAGCAATTTCCACATGGAGAGAAAGCTCCTTGAACCTTATTTTCTGATACACTCACTTTCCATGCTAATTCAGTAGGGTCTCTTTCAAGGACTCAGCCTCAGGTCTCTTTTCTGTACTTTAGATAGCTTCTCTTTCTGAAAATGCTGGCGCCATGATATCACCTTTGTCTGGAAACTCCCAAACCATTTGTCAGTTCTGACCAGCTACTGGATTGTCAGCCCCATCTCAACAACTTACAGACATTTCTTCATAAAGATGTTATCATATAAATAATATCATCTGAAACCCAAGGACTTTACTCGTTTAAAGATCTGTGCCCCCCTCAGTTTCATGTTTATAGCATAATTTTTTTCAGTGACTCCAAACTTAAATCTGCATCTATTAACAGCTCTATGTGTTGAACATCCATTCTGACTTGATTTCTGTATCCCTAACTGTCATGAATATTCATCTTGCATTGTCATCTCTGTTGTGACTTTTGATTTTTTACTTCATAGATAGTTATATTTTTTTAAAAAAATCTTAATATGCCCTTTACATACCTAATTCTGTTCACTAATTCTTTCCTTAGTTCTGTTTTTCAATTTTTTTACTATATCTTTGGTGTTATACTAATTATAAATCATTAGCTTGTTGAAATTCTGTATCATTTAAGACCCTCATCAAAGGAAAGATACCATGGATGATAAGACAGTTAAACCCTAGGAGAACTCTTCTTTAGGGACCTGTAGAAATCAAATGGGATATCTGTCTCATAAGATGAGCAGAGTTCTGGTACTTATATGTCAAAAAAAAAAAGAAGGATTTCCAGGAACTGGAAAGCTGAGAGATAATGGCAAGAAAGACCTACTCAACAATAAGGCTATTACTCCTGATACTGAAAACCTGGCTAACTACCCAAATCTAGAGAGATCATGGATCTTAGAGAAGTTATTACTGCCCCAGACAACATTTTGACAGTGCTGTCCACTACCCCGACTCCTTTTCAATTTAGTGTTCATATCAATAAGGCAAGAGAAGGAAATCAAAGAGGTGCAAATGTGCAAATCAGCAAAGAAGTCAAATGTCTCTGTTTGCAGATGTTCTTATAATATTAGCATTCAAAATTTCCACCAGAAAACTTATAGAAATTACCAATGAGTTCTTCAAATTAGTAGGAAGCAAAATCAACCTGTATGTATTATGTGCATGTAACAATAACAATTAAAGAATAGGTCATATATTGCCATGGAGCAGAGATAGGAATCTGGGAGGATTGGAGGTAGAAAAGAAATAGGGGAAATGATGTAATTTTTAAAAATTAAAAAATATTTTAAGAAAAAAGAAAGAAAAAGCAATAATCTAACCCCCACAAGAAGTTGACATAAATCAAAAAGCTATTAAACTATTATTTTTTAATTTAGTAGTCGATTTTGTATAAGAAAAATTGTAATAACACCTTAATTATTATAATGCAATCAACTCCTTAATTCCTTTAGCACTGATCTTAAGAAAAAATAATAAAAACAAATTTTTGCCTATCTCCCCTCAAGTCATCTGCTCCTGTTCTTTCATCCAAAGCTATCAAATTTCCTCTTCCAGTGAATCAGTCATTCTAATGTCTCATCTGCTGTAGAAAATGCAACACACAATCCCTGAAAGTGTGCAATGTGTTTCCAACAGCTTCTTTCATTAAAATTTTCAATCACATGTTAAGTTCAATATTATCAGTATCATTTTTATTTTAAGGATATATTTTTGGGCCAATTTAAGTACCTGAAGATTTTGGAATCTATAAATCTAAGATATAATTTTTCTGTAATATTTTTAGTTCTGTATGTATAAAAAATTAAGCCTCTTACCAATATCTCCCGTGAAGGCACGTATATCTCAGCCAGTGTAGAGTCTATTAAGTCGGCATCAAAACTATAGCTTTCCCTGGATATTGAAGAGATGATGGAGTCGCTTTCTTCATTCAGACTTCTTAATACTTTTATACGAGGTTGAACCAGGCCCTTCAGTATGACATAAAGCCCATCATCAGCAATAACTGAAATAAATAGAAACCAAAGATATAAATACCTGACTAACATGCCAATTATACGTTCTGTACCTCCTACATATCAGTTCAAGGTCTTACAAAGCATATTCTTTGGTATATGGAAAGTTGTGTATTTCTCCACTTCACAAATGTTTGCATCACTTTATGAATGGAGAGCATCATTAAAGTGTTATGAAATACCCTATATATTGCTCATGACGTCTCTAAAAGCAGAAAGTTTGCTAACTGATTTTCAGAGGCAATTGTGTGTCTTTATATTTCTCTCAAGGTCAATTACTGATAGTCTCTGCACTTTTTATCTAACTTTAGTATTAACTATCCCAGTTATTACTCTCTCAATACCATGGGAGAGTGGTTTTAATGCTTTTTATAAGTAGACACTTGTTTTTCATGGATGTCTAAGATCAAAATGGATTGCATTCTGAGTAGTACATAATCTGTATGGTGAGAGAACTAGAAAAGATTAGATTAATTAGTTTATCTGTGGCTGATTTTATAAGGTTAAGGTAGGAGTAAAGTAAATCAGAAGACAAAGAGACTTCAAGCTCTATTACAGATCTATTATCCTGGAAAACACTTGGTATTGTCACATAAATAGACAGGTAGACCAATGGATTCAAATTGAAAACACTGATATTAACCCACATACCTATGAACAACTAATTTTTGACAAAGAAGCTAAATATATACAATGGAATAAAGAAAGCATCTTCAACAAATGATGCTGGCATACCTGGATGCTGACATGTAAAACACTACAGATAGTTCCATGTCTATCACCATGCACAAAACTTAAGTCCAAATGGATCAAAGACCTCAACACAAATCCAGCGACAATGAACCTCTTAGAAGAGAAAGTGGGAAGTACCCTTGAACGAATTTGTGCAGGAGTCAACTTCTTGAACATTACCCCTGTAGCACAGACACTGAAATTGACAATTAATAAAAGGGACCTCCTGAAACTGAGAAGCTTCTGTAAGGCAAAGGACATAGTCAGGAAGACAAAACGCCAGTCAACAGACTGGGAAAAGTTATTCATCCAACCCCATATCTCACACAGGTCTGATCTTCAAAATTTAGAAAGAACTCAAGAAGCTAGTTTCCAAAACACCAAATAATCCAGTTAAAAAGTGGGGTGCAGAAATACATAGAGAATTCTCAATACAGGAATCTAAAAAGGCTGAAAGACACATAGAAAGTGCTCAAAATCCTTAGCCATTGGGGAAATATAAATCAAACTGGTTACAGACATGTAGAAGACTGCAGTTAGACCCAAGCCTATCACCTTGTAAAAACTTACAAAGAACGCAAGAAGCTAGTCCCCCAAACACCAAACAACCCAATTAAAAAGTGGGGTACAGAACTAAATAGACAATTCTCAATAGAGGAATCTAAAATGGCTGAAAGATACATGAGAAAGTGTTTAACATCCTTAGTCATCAGGGAAATGCAAATCAAACAACTCTGAGATACCATCTTACTCCTGTCAGAATGGCTAAAATCAAAAATACCAATGACTGTTTATGCTGGAGAGGATGCGGAGAAAGAGGAACACTCCTACACTGCTAGTGGGAGTGCCAACTTGTACAGCTACTGTGGAAATCAGTATGGCGACTCCTCAAGAAAATGGGAATCAGTCTACCACAAGATCCAGGAATTCCACTCCTAGGCATATACCCAAAAGAAGCACATTCATATAACAAGGACATATGTTCAACCATGTTTATAGCAACATTATTTGTAATAGCCAGAAACTAGAAGCAACCTAGGTGCCCCTCAACCGAAGAATGGATAGAGAAATTGTGGTACATTTACACAATAGAGTACTACTCAGCAGAAAAAAACAATGGAATCTTGCAATTTGCAGGAAAATGGATGGAACTCAAGGAAACCATTGTGAGTGATGTAACCCAATCACAAAAAGACAAACATGATATGTACTCACTCATATGTGGACCTTCTTTATGATACATAGTAGTGACCATGCTTTATCAGAGCTGTTTTAATGATACTGCTCAGAATTGTTTCCTCCCAGATGATGACTGAGAAACTAATTTAAAAAAAAAATGGTGCCAAGTACCACAGAACTGTGATGTTTTCTGGGATTTTGTTTTTTACTTTGTTGTTTGTTTGTTTGTTTGTTTGTTTTTGTTTTTTTTTAATGGAGTGTGCTGGAAGTCTCTACAATTTTGTTCAAATGACTGCAGAACCTGGAAAAGCTGTTACTGCTATTGATGCATAACATATTGCCATTATTGCTCTCTCTCTCTCTCTCTCTCTCTCTCTCTCTATATATATCCCACTTTGTCTTCTAATAGGTTCAGTGTAGCTGGATTTATGTTGAGATCTTTGATCCATTTTGACTTTTTCAAAGGTTAAAAACCAAACACAAAGTTTGATTAAAGCAAATGTTAGTCAATTACTATCTCCCTTTCTCTGGTACACAAGTGTTTAAGATCAACCATCTCCTAATGAGTTAACTGTTCTAAACAGCTGCACATAATAAGGGGTTATACTGTCAACTGAATAATACTCATTTGACCTATAAATTTAAGTGTCATCTACTGGTCAGGAAAGACTTTCCTCATCCTGGCAAGCTTTATTCCCAATTAATGCCTACCATAGGTAAATTTTGACACAGCATTTGTGTCATGGAATACTTCATACTCAGATTCTACCTATATATCCCACATTACTCAAAGATGGGGAAATGGTTCTACTATAGTATTTCCAGTCCCAAGCATCCATCTTGGAGGCCTTTTTTGAATGGATGAAGGCTTAGTTATAGTTTGGTAAAAAGCAGAAAATTTAAATGATTTGAGAAGAAGCCAGAATATTCATTGTTTTGGGTACAAAGATAAAAATCTATTATTTCATTTAGAATTTTTCCAACTTTTTTTTATTTGAATTAGAAACAGGATTGTTATACATGACAATCCCAGTTCCCTTCTCCCACCCATCCTCCCCTACTCTCCCAACTAAAACCTTATCTGTCACATATCTTTTCTGATCCCCCTGGATGGTGAGGCCTTTCATAGAGTGTCATCAGAGTCTTCTGTATCCTTTGGGATATGGCCTAGGCCCACCCCCATGTGTCTTGACTCAGAGAGTATTCCTCTATATGGAATGGGCTCCCAACGCTACCTTAAATGCCCCCCCCCATTATGAGATTGATGACTGACTTATATGCCTTCATCCAGCAGCTGGGGGGAAATAGAAGCAGACACCCATAACTAATCACCAATCTGAACTGGAACCCAGATGCAGAGAAGGACCAGTGAAGAGCACAGAGGTCCAGACCAGGCTGGTGAAACCCACAGAAACAGCTGACCTGAACATCCAGAACTCTTGCTCCCCAGTCTGATAGCTGGAATACCAGCATGGGACTGATCCAGATCCCAGGAACATGGGTTTCTGTGAGGAAACCTCAGAAATCTATGGGACCTCTTGTAGAAGCCCAGTATTCATTTAGAATTTTTGTCTGCTTTTGAATATGATGACATTCAAGGTCTAGTTTCTTTACTTTCTATTGTGTATAAGCTCAGTAAAAAAACAACAACAAAAAAAAAAACATCCAGTGTATGTGTGTATATGTGTATTGCGTTTTAAAATAAACAATTTTAAATTAAGAATGACTTATTAGCATAAGTACATATTGCTATAACAGACATTAAAAATCAAGATACAAAAAAGACTAAAAATCAAGAAATATGAAGAAATCCAGATTGTTATTTTTTGTTTTGATTTTATAAATGTGTCATAAAAATAACTCAAAGCAAAGATAAAACTTAGTAGTGGAAGTAGGGGGAGAAATCTACTAGTTAGTAACCTGACTTCAAAATATAATTTGAAAAGGAGATTTAATGGAGTTACCATGCATGGGTGACAACACTACTCACAGAGGGGTCCCAGAGGCACCCTAATGGGTTATTGTTACTGTTCTTGATTACATTACTCTTAAAAATAAAATAAGTAAGACCTTTTTACTGAAGATACTCTGGCTGTAAAACAGAGAAAATTCTATCTCTAACTGACCAGGAAGCTTTCTCCCTGCTGGCTAGCACCCATTGTGACAAATGCAGTAATGCAGGTTGCTGGGAAAGAAATAACATCAATTGTCTAATTCACCTGATTCTGAATGTTAAAATACAGATCAACCAGGAAAAATATACCCAGTGATGCAACAGTGGCATGACTGTTCTAAGGTAACTTTCTCAATGAACTTGAGTCACATCCCACAAGAGGGAATCCATGCCTAGTCCTGTACACCTATTTATGAGTCTATACTGAGGACATCATGGGTTCTAAGGTGGAACTACCATTGTTATTTTGCTTAATGACCATGTTGTCCCATTGCCTCCTAAATATTTACATTTATACCAATAAATGAGTGCTTCTCTCAGCCTTGGTCAGAGAAAGTTCTTTTTGCAGTTGACTGCCGTTAGCTAACATAGAATCTTAGCTGCTCAAAGTGCAGAGAATGTGTGACTATGAGTACTTAGCCCTAAATGGAAATATTTTTTATCAAATCTACTCCATCCCTGTCAAGGTTCAGAGACCATCTCAAAGAGAAGCAAGGAGAATATAAGCAACAGAGGATGAGGAAACGCTTTATCATGGGATGACTTGTGTACTCAAACTGCATGACAGCTGTGGCTTACTTGCACAATACCAAGCCAATCAAAATCCCAGTGTGGGTAATTAAGGACCTCATGAGGCCTCCACCCTTAGCTGAAAAGATACTGTGTGTTGATAGAGGCTAGAAGGGAGAATGGTAATTTTCTTAGGAAGTGTGAAAGAAAAAGAAGTGCACACAAAGTAGAGAGCAACTGGTTGGGGATGTTCTGGGGAAATTTGAGGCTGAGAAGAAGTTAAGGGAATATGACCAGAAAATAGTGTGTACATGTGTGAAATTCATAAACAATAATTTGAAATCTATGCAATAATTTAACTTTTTAAATAATTTCTTTTTTGTATTCCATACATAA